GTCCCGGAGCCCCTAACGCAACGGACCAGGGCGCTCACTGCTTCCGGAAGGGTGCATGGGGTGCGCAGGCAGGGGTGGCAGCTGCGAGGCTCTGGCTCGCCCACTGCAGAGCCACACCACAGGGACCACTGGGTGGCCCTGTCCGGCCCCTCCTCTCGAAGGCCTGCGGGTTCTGGACACAAAGGCAGAGGGTCTAGCCCTGGGGAGGGGAGAGGCCTACTGGGCGTTACCCTTCGGAGCGGAGCTGGTCTTAAAGCCCTCAGCACAGTCAGCATGCCGCTGGCACCCCCGCTTCACCATGTGGATGCCGCCGCTGCCCTAAAGATGTTTCATGCCACTTGGTTAATCCGTTTTGCTTTTCTCGCCGCTTACAGAATCCAAGTTTCCTATAAATATGTATTTAGGTTTTGCCATAGAATCAAGTGTTTAAATTGGAAAGGAAATCAGGATATCAAAACCACAAGTGTGGTATCTTTCTTGGTAGAATGGCATCATGAGAAGTTACCAAGTAACCTCCATTTAAAATAAATAAAATTTAAAAATATATTTTTATATATGGAGTCAAAATCACCATGGAACAAACTCTTAAAAAAAAAAAATCATGAAATGAAATTATAGGGCCCGATGTTTTATGTCTGGAGAACCAAAGGGACATGAGTGATTAGAGGTGGGTGAGAGGGAAGGAGGGAGGGGAGGCCCCGGGGAGGGAGGAGCTCTGTAACCCTGACCCGCTATGCACACCGAGACCCCCCTGCGCACACCCCGACCCCCTGCGCCCACCGGAGACCCCCTGCGCCCACCCCGACCCCCTGCGCCCACCGGAGACCCCCTGCGTACACCCGACCCCCTGCGCACTCCGGAGACCCCCTGCGTACACCCGACCCAGTGCGCACTCCGGAGACCCCCTGCGTACACCCGACCCCCTGCGCACACCGGAGACCCCCTGCGTACACCCGACCCCCTGCGCACTCCGGAGACCCCCTGCGTACACCCGACCCAGTGCGCACTCCGGAGACCCCCTGCGTACACCCGACCCCCTGCGCACACCGGAGACCCCCTGCGTACACCCGACCCCCTGCGCACACCGGAGACTCCTACCCCGGAGAGGGAGGAGGGACGGCCGCGTGCTCCACCCAGGGCGGCCTGCACAGGGCGGAGGCCGAACCGCCCAGCTCCGGTCACAAAGGGCCTGCAAGGGCCAGAGGATGCGCAGAAACATCACCCCTGGACACGCCATCGCGGGGCGGCCAACACTGCACCCCTGGCCAGCAGCAGGGCAGCCAGCAGGCAGGTCGCATCTGACAAACACCAGGGGGACTTGGCAGGAGCTGGAGGCCCACTTCCGGCCTCCCGACCCCATGTCCGTCAGATGTCTTCTACACCGGAGTCCACATTGGCTCAACTTTCTTCCTGGGGTCTTCGCTCTGGCTGAGAGGCCGGTCCCAGCTCCTCTCCTCAGTGGGTCCCGGCTCCTCCCCTCAGTGGGTCCCGGCTCCTCCCCTGTTGGGTCCCGGCTTCTCCCCTCACTGGGTTCTGGCTCCTCCCCTCACTGGGTCCTGGCTCCTCCCCTCACTGGGTCCCGGCTCCTCCCCTCACTGGGTTTCTGGCTCCTCCCCTGTTGGGTCCCAGCTCCTCCCTCACTGGGTTCTGGCTCCTCCCCTGCTGGGTTCTGGCTCCTCCCCTCACTGGGTTCTGGCTCCTCCCCTCACTGGGTTCTGGCTCCTCCCCTGCTGGGTTCTGGCTCCTCCCCTCACTGGGTTCTGGCTCCTCCCCTCACTGGGTTCCGGCTCCTCCCCTCACTGGGTCCCGGCTCCTCCCCTCACTGGGTCCCGGCTCCTCCCCTCACTGGGTCCCGGCTCCTCCCCTCACTGGGTCCCGGCTCCTCCCTCACTGGGTCCCGGCTCCTCCCCTCACTGGGTCCCGGCTCCTCCCCTCACTGGGTCCCGGCTCCTCCCCTCACTGGGTCCCAGCTCCTCCCCTCACTGGGTCCCAGCTCCTCCCCTCACTGGGTCCCAGCTCCTCCCCTCACTGGGTCCCAGCTCCTCCCCTTACTGGGTTTGGCTCCTCCCCTCACTGGGTCCCAGCTCCTCCCCTCACTGTGCACCAGCTGGGAAGCCCCAGACTTCCGCAGACCCAGCCTTTAAAGGCGGTGCGGTCTCTCCCTCACCCTGGCACTGTAACTAGAACATTATGGGAACTCGAGGCACATTAATTGAACATTAAATTAAATGGGCAAAAGACTCCCAAGTCCCAGCTAATGATCCACTTATCTAGAGGAATACAGAATTCAGTACAAGATGCCAACCTGATTTCTGCAGTTGACAGAAACCAGGAGTCACCTGCCCCGGTGACATCTCACCACCTGCCAGCCTCACCCCAAGGTACCTGCACAGGGAGACAAAATTTTCGGCCCCCAAAACTGGTTCTAATGCTGACTGATAAGAGCCTCACCTCCTCTTTCCTGGGCTGGTCAGTGCCCCACCACCCACCACGTCTAGGATGGTGCTGTGCACAACACAGTAAAGGCGCTCCAAAATGAGAGAGCCATTTTGTCTTTTTTAGTTAATTATGAATAATACTACACAAGCACAGCTTTTCCTTTTCTCTTCTGTTTCCATGAGCTCCTTTGGACCCCAAGCCTGCTAACCTGCCACTGCACCACCCGCTCCCCTCTCTGCCCCTCCTGCCTGCAGTCGCCGGGCCCTCTCTCATGGCTTCATGCCTCCTGCTCAGAACAAGTCTCAGCACCATCTCCACACTTAGGCCTCGGCTGCCTCTCGCTGGTCACCTTCCAAATCCACTGGCCTCACCGCCTTCCCCACTCCACAGCCTTCTCCCAGTTTCTCTCTGCACCTTAAGTCAATATTATGACTCTCCTCCCCCTGCCCCCCAGATAATGTATCTTCCCCGGTGAGCACTCCCGCGGAAGCCCCCTAGGGGTCATGCATGATCCCCTGGTCCACGCAGAGGGCCTTGGTCAGAGGATGTCCCCTGGGCTAAGGGAGTTCTTAAAGTGACCACTGCAAGGAAACTCAGCCGTTGCATAATATGTGATAGGTTAGATCCCCGCTGCTTGGGAGAATCCGGTAAGAGGATGAGAACACAGAGATGGGCAAATTTAACGCAATTTCCTTTGTGTGCTTGAGCTGGCTCAGGCTTGCAACACCACAGTGGCAGTTTTGTCTTTCTTCAAGTACAGCTTTCACGTCATTTTTAAAAAGGACTTTACCGGAGTCAATCATTCTCACCCTTCAGCTCATTAGCATATCTATCCTGACAACACCCCAGAAAGGTCCCTCTCTGTCTGCAGAGTGAAAATTGGAAGGGACCTGCCAGGGGTGTTTACAGAATCAAAATCCCCAACACGGGAAAACAGCAGAAGCAAACAGATGTTTCAGGTGCAGGAGGCCCTTCTTCAAGCAAGAATCCTTTTTAACAGAACTGGCCCCTGCTCTTGCCATCTTTCTGCAAAATGAATGGGTAGTGTCCAAGGAAAATAATGGGTCCCCATTCCCCTCATAGAAAAATTCACATAAACGTCTTAAAAAAAAAAAAAAAAAGTCTGGCCTTCTCCCTGGCAGCTCCCCGCGCCCTGGCTTCTGCATTGTGACAGCTGGGACCGATGGCGTCTGGGCGAGACTCCGCACATCTTACGCCTCGACCCGACCCGCAAGGCCTGTTGCTCGCGGGGATGCTGGCCTCCCGGCCGGTTTCTGTCCCCAGCACCTACTCGCAGGAGGGTTTCCAATCCGGGGTGACACTGCCCACATATCAGACCGGCGAGGCTTATTTTGTTTGGGCCCAAAATGCTTTCGTCTTCCGACTCATTCCTAACATGCGCCTTGTCACAACGCGGCCCTCGGAGCAGCGGATGGCGGCCCGCCGGCCGGCCAGGCTCCTGCCCGGGATGGGGCTCCCCACAGGCCGTTTCGGCGGAGATCTCAGCGCCCACCGATGGCGATGGCCGCCGGGTTTTGCAGACATAGGAAGGGACAGAAATCAACATTTCCCAAAGCTTCCCCGTGTGTGTTCCCAGCAAATGCGGGGGGGTGGGGGGGACTCCTCAGCTGTGTGCTGTGAATGTAAATTAAGCAGCAGCAACAACGCCACTCCACGCAGCCTCTGTGGACTCCACAAAAATAAATGAATAACCACGCACACGCACACACACACACCCCTATGCCGTTCGAAAACCGAGTCACAGCTTCACACGAAAAAGGTGCAATAAGATTGTCCCCTTCGGAGGTCCGTGATCTGAAGGCTCCTTAAATTTCCGGGCACGTCCACACGCTTCATTTCCATCTCGCTGCTGTTTCCCGGGAAGGGACGGGGTCCCGCACGGAACCCCCGCGACGGGGCTGAACAGGAGCGGCGTCCCCGGGCGGGCGACGGGCAGACGTGGCCGGGCGGCCGGCGCCCGCAGCGGGCACGCAGCCCGGGCCGGCCCCGCGCTCGGGGCGCCGCGCTGACCTTCCGCGGCCGGAGGGGAATGCGTGCATCTGCCCCCAACCGGGCCGCCCGCCCGCCGCCCGCCCGCCCGCAGCGCCGGCGTGAATCAGGCGCGCTCCTCTGCAGAGGAATGACTCAGGGTAAACTTTTAAATAATGGTCGGACGCCGCCGCAGCCTCGGCCACCGCTCGTGCGTGCGGGCAGCCCCGCGGCCCGGGTCCCGGCACCGCCGCGCGGCAGATGCTGCTCTCGCTGCCGCGGGGTCACGTTCGCGGGAGGCCCGGGCGCCCGTTTCCTGAAAAGCTGCGCAGCCCCGGCCCCGCGGCCCCGGCCCGGCCTCGGGCGCAAAGTTTCCCGAAGTTGAGGCGTCCGAGGGGCGGGCGGCCCGGCGGGGACCGGGCGAGGCGGCGCCGCACCGGGCACTCGCCGCCGGGCGCCGGGCCTGCGCCGCCCCGGCCCCGCGCCGCCGCCGAGGGCGCGGGATGGAGCCCGGGATGGAGCCGCCGGGCCGCCCGCCGCCGCCCGCCCTCCCGCCCGCCGCCGCCCCTTACCCCGAGGTCCGCCGCCGCTCGTGGCTCAGGGGCGCCGGGCGCGTCCTCCGCCGCGGTCCGCAGCGTCCTGCTCCCCGGGCAGCCCCATGTCGGGGGGCGGGGAAGGGCCGGCGGCCGCCGCCGCCGCCGGCTGGAAAGTCCCTGCTGGGCTGCAACCGGCTCGCGCACGCGGCGGCCGCGCCGCCCCGCGCTCCTCGCGCCCTCGCGCTCCCGCTCGCAGCACTTCCTCTCGCGCTGGAAATCCCCGCCGGCGCCCGCCGGAGCGCGCCCGCCCCGCCCCCGCCGCGCCCGCGCCCGCGCCCGCGCGCGTGGGAGCCGCAGGACCGCCGGCGCGGCCGCCCCACGCGCACGCGCGCACGCTCGCGCCCGGTTGCCAAGGCCCCCCCCCCCGCCGGCCTTAGCAACGGCGCCGCCGCGCCGGCCCCCTCCCCCCTCGTCCCTCCCGCCGGCGCCCCGCCCCCTGGCCCCGCGCGCCCGCCCGGCGGCCCCCTTTCCGGGTCAAAAAGCCACGCAGGCCGCGCGGGGCCCGAAAGGTGCAGGTTTCCTCGCGGTCGAGAGCGATGGCGTCACCCGGTTCACCAGGGCAGCCGTCCTCCCTCACACTCACATCACACACAGACACACTCACGGGCACCCACACCCACAAACCCGCGCCTTCAACATGTATTCTCGGTCACACACACACACTCGTGCAAAGGCTCACATACACATATCCAACACTTACACTGTCACACTGACACACTTGCTCAGTCACACTCCCTCTTACAGACGCGCAGGTACAGACTCGCTCACGTGCTCTCGCATTCCTACTCACACATGCATGCTCTGCAACACACGCACACCCACACAGACACACCTGCTGCACCCACAGCCGCGTGCACACCAGCAGGCCATCTGGGCCAGGCCACTTCTTAGCCTGAGAGGTCTCAGCATGGGCTTGGCTGGAGTTCCCTCCCTTCCTCCCTGGCCCCTCCACACCCAGGAAGTTGGTTTTGGTCAAGTGTGAACAGGGTGGCCAGTGTGCCATCAGCTCCCAGAGTTCCCAGCTGGCCTGGACACCCCTCCTTCTTTGACCCCAGGCCTTCTGGGGCCTGGGCAGCCTCCAGGGCCAGGGCCAGCCTTTTCTCCAGAGGCCTCAGCCCTCTGTTCCCTAACCAGTGGTCGGCAAACTGCGGCTCTTTGGCCCCTTGAGTGTGGCTCTTCCACAAGATACCGACTTCTGCGCATGGGCCACGGAGTTCCAATCGCACTGAACGTGCGCGCCCGCACGTGGTATTTTGTGGAGGAGCCACACTCAGGGGGCCAGGGGGCCGCGTGTGGCTCTCGAGCCGCAGTTTGCCGACCACTGCCCTAAGCCATCCAAGGCCCCTCAACGTCCTCCAAGATTAGCCCGCCCGGCTGGGCCTGCAAGCCCTGAGCAATGGAGGCCTGTCTCTGGGAGTTCACAAGTCCACGCTGAGGAGGCAAAATGGACTTGTCATTTTTCTCTTCTCAACAAGACTTTGTACAAAGATTCCTGGTCCAAACACACAACATAATATAGACGATGTATTAGAGCGCTGTACACCTGAACCCTATATAATTTAATGAGCCAAGGTCACCCCAATCAATTCTATAAAAAATAAAGAAGTTTCCTGGAGTGTGGCCAGCTTAGGCCAGTCCTCCTTGTATCTCTCAGTGACTCATGGGACTAGAGGCAGGAAGTCCAGCACCTCCTCCCGCGGCCTCCCCATGGGATGTCCCAGAACTCTGAACAGTCTGACCAGGCTGATGGGACTCCATCATCCCAACAGGTGCAGCCACAGCAGTGGGGCCTTGCTACCCAGACTCAGCCAGGCCCCAGTGGTGCCCCCGCTCAGGCCACTAACAGAGCACAGCTCTTTGAATTCAGCCCAGAGAACCAGAGGTGGCTGCCATTCACAAAGCAACCATGTCAGGGTGACAGGCCAGTCCTCGCGCACAGGCCCCGAGCTCTGAGTTGAACCCGAGTCACCAGACTGGTTCCCCCTCCCCTCACGGTGGGTTCCCCTCTAGAGCTTTGGGTGTCCCTTCCTGCCTATCAGGAGTTGCAATGACACTGACCTCAAAGGATCATGGGACCGGACTGCATTCCCTTCCCCAGGCTCCGAGGCCTTGCACGTTTTCCCACTTCCTCCCAGGTCCCCAGGCCTTGAACACCGCCTGCCAGGTGCCCCCTCCCACCTACGGCCTCACTATCATAGGGGACCTATTTAAGACTTGGCCAAAATCAGACTTTGCCAAAAATTTCCCAGGCTGCACTACATATGGTTCTTATAAAATAAGCAACTAGGTAGACATTTCAAAGACCTGCCAGAGGGGTTTTCTGAGACTCCTCCTATTCTCCACCAAATCAATTACCAAGCAACATTCCGAATGCAGATGCAACCATCGTCGAGCCCTCTTCTGGCGAGATCTGCTCCTTCTCATCTCTCCCCTTCCTCCTCCTCCTCCTCCCCCCCCCCCCCCCTCCCGCAACTGTCTGAGCAGCTATGGACCCCTTGCTATGGGGGATTGGAGGTGAGCCGTACAAAGATGTTTGCCCCAAACCCCGCAACTGCTTTGGAGGCCAGCCTTCTGCCCTCTGCAGTTATAGCTGCTGAGCAGCAGTAATGGACAGCAAGGAGAACCAATCACAGCTCTCTCCTCGATGCATTTCAAAGGCGGAACTCTGTGTTCCCTATGGCAACGTGGAACAACAAGCTGACACCATTTCTGGACAAAGACCTGTCTCCCAGGAATGTGTGTAGCATTACATGTTTGCTACACGTCGGGAGATGTGCACACAGAAATCAGAGGGACTCACATCCATGTAAGACTCAGAACGAAGAAACATCCGCTGCACGGTGTGAGGGAGCTTCAGGCCCTCAGTGACACCTCCCCCCAGAGACCTCGCCCCAGGGGTCCAACTTGGGCTGAAACGTGCTGGCAACTTCTCCCACTAAGAATGTTAAATATGCATCAGGAGGGACTCGCACACATGGCAAAACAGTTGCTAGATGTTCAGACAAGAGGATTCCGAACTTTGCATCCCAGGGAGCGGCTGTGACCACCGGCTCTGCTCCGTCCTTTCTGCCCAGGCTGTGTCGGGGGCCCCCTGTGCTCGTGCCCTGTTATTCACGTGAAGCATGTGAAATGAGCTATGATTGAGAAAGTCAGCTACCGCCAGAATCCCCAAACTCGGGCATGCAAGGCCTTTTGAGGAAGCCGAGGCTGGTGGTGGGTGAGCTGGGTCTGTGAGCAGTTCCCGGGGACAGCAGATGGGGGAGTTTCTTTTTCTTTTTTCTTTTTTCTTTTTCTTTTTTTTTTTTTTTTGCGGGGCAGGGTGCCGGGGACAGGAGTTTCCAGTCTGGAGACCAAAAGGGGTCTGAGTAGGCCTGTAATTGTCACACCTCCCCTGCTCTCCAGCCTGGGTAGCGAGGATGAAAAATGGTCAGATTCACAAATTCAGGTTGTCCCCACACCTGCGGTTCACCCATTGTTCTCAGACGGTCATCTCTGTGAGTGATCTGCAACGTAGGTGATGCTTCACAACTAACCAAGTTTGAATTTCCCTCTTCTATTTCTCAGCATAAATGCAAATAGTGAGCTCATGTCACAGGAGGCTCTCACAGTGCTACGTGCCGATACTAATGGGACAGTCGTTAGGGCTTCTTTAAGTGAATAATTAGCAAGCTACTAAATAACCCTCCGTCATTCTAATCAGAGTTTTCTGTCTGGTCAGGACCAAGAGGTCACGGTTTGATTCCTGGTCAGGGCACCTGCCCAGTTTGCAGGTTCAATCCCCAGTGGGGGCCGTGTAGGAAGCCGCCGATCAATGCTTCTCTCTCGTCATTGCTGTTTCTCTCTCTCCCTTCCTCTCTCTGAAATCAATAAGAATACATTTAAAAGAGTTTGCTAAGCACCAGCTGTCCCGTACTTCCTAAAGTCTGGACGAAGGAGCCTGGGGCCGTGACGGAAGGGACAGGGCTGGAGGGGACCTCCATCTGGGCTCTCTGCGGACCCCTGCCTGGGCCCAGGCATCATGGGCGTGTTCCTGGGCCTCTGAGGCTGAGGTGCCCGGCTTCCCCGAGATGCTGTGCTTCCCCTGTTCTGGGGTGTTAAGAGTCAGGCAGGCAGGGCTCCTGCCGAGTGAGGCTGCCAGGGTGGGCACCTGAAGCAGGTGGCGGCCCCAGTGGCCCTGTCACAGGAAGTGGCCTTTCCTCCCTTGCTGTTTCTTTTTGAGTATGAGGCAAACCAAAAAATTTCCCCGCAGATGGTTAAGGAACCAAAATCGGACACTGACTTCGGTGTGGGGATTTTGCCCTCCGGGTGGGGCACTTCATTCTGCAACTCCAAATGCAGAAACTGCCCGACAGGCTCCGAACACAGCCCTTCTGGGCAGCCACTTCCAGGTCACCCCCAGAAAGGACAAGGGGAGCTCCCTCCAGGGAAACAATTTGAATAGGCGTGGGCCTGTCTGAAGTTGTCCGGGGAACTAGGACATGGGACCGGGGTGTTCCCTCCTGCTCTGACTCAGGTCGATGTGACATCTTGTTTCCCAAAAGAAAGCAAAAGGTATGCCTGGCCAGTGTGGCTCAGTGGTTGAGCATCGACCTATGAACCAGAAGGTCATGGTCAGGACACATGCCCAGGTTGCAGGCTTGATCCCCAGTGTGGGGCATGCAGGAGGCAGCCAATCAATGATTCTCTTATCATTGATGTTTCTCTCTCTCTCTCTCCCTCTCCCTTCTTCTCTGAAATCAATAAACATATATTTATATATATATATATTTAAAAGGTAGAAAAGGATGCAGGAAAAGTTCCCCATTTTTTCCAGAGCCTTGATTTCAGTTTTTCCTCCATTTTTAAGGATAAATAAGATTGATTTTACACCAGGATCAGAAAAAAATAACATCCATTTATGGATCTTTGAAATAGTCATTCATTCATTCATACAGCCACATGTCCGCTAGGCAGTTGAGAAATCAGATCTACTCTGAGCCTATTCTGCTTGTAAATCCCCCAAAGCTGCCCCAGGCAGGGGTGGGGCTTGCAGCTGCCCCTCCTGGGGTCCCCACGAATTAATGCCCTTAAAGGTGCCCCCCCCCCCACGCCTTCCTCCCCACTCCCCACTGTCACTCCACCTGCGTTGTGTAACTCCCTGGAAAGCCTGTGAAGACAGGCGCCTCGCACATCTGAAGGTATCTGAAGGTATCTTCAGAATTGCGTTGTGGGGGTTTTGTCCAGAGC